CTCTTCCCGCCCAGCACACCCTGACGGGGTGTTTTTAATCCTACACGGTCCTTTCCCCTTAAACCCCCCTGAATTTGCAGATAAAATAGTAGAAGTAACTAGTGAGTATGCAGTTAAGCGAATAGCAGCGTTTCCCTGACGAATTCATTGTGTGCTCCTGTGCTGGCGCAGGTGTTTGGAGCGGGGGTCCTCAACCAGCAGTCGGTCGCTCGGCGTTCTGCTGCAAAGAAATTTAAGAACAGGCAGGCGTTCTCCAGCATGTCAGTCCCTTCAGATTTAGGTAGGTTGGCAAAGCCTGAGGAAGGTTAGAGAACACCGAGCGTGTGCGTGGTTGCAGTTAACTCCCAGGTGCTCGTATGTGGAGCTCCTAGAGTTTACCTGTCTCAGTTCAGTGCTGTGTAAGCCTGGCCGCACTGCTTCCAGTCTGGCGGATCGATAAGCCTCCTGCGCAGCAGTGCCCAGGTTAAGAAACCTGCGATTTAGCTCCTTACTTCTGGATCTTACAGCGTTACAGATCACATCACGTGGAAACCTCAAGTAACTTCACGTAGTTGCTTTCACCTAGTAGCTCAGTAGCTCCAAACCAACTCTACTGCTTCTGTGTTCTTTCCCTGAAGGGAATAGCCCTTTGCAGAACATGCTGCCCAGGGTGCTCTCTTTTGACCTCACGGGACAATCCATGAGCCACAGGAAAGACAGCATGCCGGATGTGAGCTAATTTTAGTGGCTTTGCTGAAGTGACTGCATGGAGTATCTTTATAGGTACTGTGTAGCTTGAACCATACGTTGCAGTGCAATATGTCCATGTTGTATCTGTATGTTGCAGGAATATATCCCATTATAAATAAATAATTTGATGCAGTGTAGACGCTCAGGAAGATAAAGGCACTTGGGAAGTGTGCCCTCTACTGTATTTTTTAATATACTTCAGAAAGTACGTATTTCTAATATTTACATCTTCTGGGTGCCTCCACGTTACCGTTAACATCGTGTTAATAACTTTTTTAACCTCACTATCAGATAAATTCAGGCTAGACTGAATGCTGTTCACGTTATGAAAACAGATTTTAATTAGAGTCCTGCAGTCTGTTTGTACTGGAAAATGAGTCTGTTGTTTTCAGTTCCATTATCTGGTTTACTTAAAAGTATATCACCTTCTCTACAAAAGGCATTTTTAACTCAGTAATCCTCCTTAATCCCTGCAAGCAGTCCTCTCAGGTGGTGGCTGAGTTTTAGGAGCTTGTTAGTAACTCTCCTTGATGGCTGTTTTTAAAATGACGGGTGCTTCTTGCCCTGTTACGGTCTTGCTTGCTGCACTTGCTACGTGGCAAGCCTGGCAATCAACAGGTTCTCATCGTTCTTTCTAGCAAGACAGTCTCCAGCACTGTGATTAAGGGGAAAGAAATACGGCCAGTGTCTGCAGGTGGATACTGTGATGGTGTGTCCATCCATGAGAGATACAGATGGGTGGAGAGCTTGCTGACTGAGTGAAGAACTCGCTGTGGTTTATATTATTGGGGGGGAGGAGGAGGGGGAAGATTGAGGTCTAATCTTGGGGGAATATGTCTCTGCTGCAGAAATTCCACTTTGCTTGCTGCTTGCAATTTATTGTCTAAACTGTCCCAAAATGAGCAAAGTAGGAAAATCCTTGACATTCAATTATGGGACAGAATGGAAACCGAATTGGCTCTTACCCTGTTGTAGCCAAAACAAAACAGTAATTCCAAGAGTTGCTGGTTTACCTACTGTTTCCATTTTGGTACGTATACTGTTGCGGGTTTCTTCTGTTTTGCATGGTTGTGGTTTCAGACTGTAGTATTTTCTTTGATTCTTAACTCTAATGTTTGAGCTTGAGCACCAGGCTGAAACTCCTTTTCAGAAGTTAACCTGTGTGAGACGTTTTTTGGTTTACCTTTAGGGAAATTTGTCTTTATGTGAGCCTCCACTGTTAGCATTGCAGAGGGGCTGGCAGCAGAGAACAGATGGTGTCTGTAGTCTATGTAGCGTTGTGTGTTACTAGGTTAAACAGTTGCATGGAATCCTTAGGGTTGTACTGCAGTATACCCAGACATATTGGGTCTCACTCAATGCATATTCCTACTGTAAGTGCTTAATATGAGTCCCTTTTACCCTAGTGTCTGAGATTGTGAGGCTGGCCCGTGCTCCTGGGCCCCAGCGTTTAGAAACTGTTTCTGTGTGACCTGGCTATGCCCCACCTCCTTACCACAGCAAGATCCATCCATACTACTTTTCTTCTTTCCCTGTCCTTCATCCCCCTGTTTCCAAGAGAAGTGTACATAAGTGCTGAGCCAGGAGGGAGCAACCCTGCCGTGCACAGCCCTGGTCTGCACAGTCCAGGGACCAAGAATGTTGGATTGATGCTGCTGGGCGCAAATTCCTCAGAGAGAACGCCTAGCTCATCTTGCTTTCCCTTAAAAAGGTTTGCCTTCCTAACCCTCCCTCTGTTTTCCAGCGCAAAGAGGTCAACTGTCTTCTTCAGGATTCTTAAATATCTGATGCATTACCAGATTTAAACAAACAAAAAACCCAAACCCAATGTACAACAGAAAAAAGCCCACAGCCCAAAGCATTTTTTATGAGAAAGCAACCAAAATAACAAAAGCTTAGCATATCGCACGACTTAACCTATTTGTTTTTCAAATTTCTTACTTCACCTGTGTTGCATTTGGTAATGTATCGTTAATGAAATTTGCTGTGCACTTTAAATTTGAAGATTTAGGGATTTAGAGTATATCCCAAACTGTAACATTCCTTTTATAATGCAGGATGTGTGCCGAAGGCATACCTATGAACGTGTGTAGAGCAACCAAACAGTACCTTGCATTTTAGGGGTGTGCTTGGTGTCCCCTTTGACTGGAGGAGGCCAATTCAAGCCTTGTATAATGATTCTTGCTTTTATCAGCCTGCCGTATTTTGTTAACTCTTGTGTTAGAAAGAGTAATTTCTTTGTTTTTGAAGTTGTTAGCATGGCAAGTCTTGTCTGGGGCCTGTTCCTAGGAGAACCTGAAACAGTCCTTCTAAAGACTGGCTTCTGTTTGACGGGGATCTGGCACCATTTGCTTCTCTGTGGTTTCCCCATTCACTGGGAGGGGCAAAGTTAATGAGGTAAATAGTAATTACATGTAAGTGTGAGCAAATCGGTCAACTTTGCTATGTGGCTGCTTACTTTGAGTCTTTGGAATATGCAGCACAAGGCTGAGAGACTGGGCACAACCTGTGTTCACAGAACTGCTTTTTAGTTTTGTTTACAAACTTACTGCTCTCTATATTAGAGAACATACACCTTAACAAGAAAATTGAATAACATTCACAAATGCTGGAAATTAATTCTTTTCTCCTGTGGAGCACCATAACAACATACTAATACCCACTCTGCAGTTTAAAAGAAGAAATAAGAGGATTCTCTTTATTACTGGAAATACTTGAACTCTGCCCTAAGTAATGTTCTATGGTTTGGTTTATTAAACTGTTTTTACGCTGCACGCTAGATCACTTGCTTCAGGTAAGTGGATTTTCTGACTGGAGAATTATAAAGAGAGCTCCTAATTTTTAGCAATGTGTCAGAGCTCCTGAAGTCAAAACTGACTTGGATGTAACTAAGAACAGGTGCTAGTCCCTTTCTTAATAATTCATTTTATGTTTTCTAAGGCGTTTTGTTAAAGCAGGGGACGCATTCATAATATTGTCACCTATATTGAATTTATAGGAACAACAAATTTCACTTTACAAATGCAATTATCCATATGTACTTGTATGTTAAGTTCCAATTAAGCTCTCTTAAAACTAGCTGACATTGCTGGCGAAAGGGATTAATTTATTCAGTATCACTGAAAGAGTATTTTTTGCTTAAAATAGCAACAATTTCCCTAGGATACAAGGCATCATTAATAGTTAACCTGAATGCATATATACATGCAGTTACAAAACTACAGGAGAGAATTTTATTGCTCTCGACTGAGATTCTAAGTCATTGCTGCTAATGACAAACGCTTTCAGATGTTTTATTTCTAAAACTCTGGTGTACATCCTGTTTTTGCCATGGTACACAGTGCAAACCAACAAGCCTTTCCCTTCCTTTTTGGCAATGTTACAGGAGCTAGAGGCGCCTGTGTAAGCTGACCGAGGACAGAGGCTTCACTGTTCACCACTAGAATAGAAACGTATTCTCCTTTTCATTAACAGAAGAAGGTATTGTACATATTTCTGAGATGAGTTTGCTATTTGAACTGTACTGTTTTCTCCTTTAACTAATTATTGCCACAAAGAAAAAGAGGAAAAGGCATACAAATGGCTTAAT